ATTTTTTTAAATTGTTGTTTTCTAATCGTTTATTTTTTTCTTTAAACAGTAAAAAAAAAAAAAATTGGCTATTTAAATTATTCAGTGGTAAAAACATTTTTCGGTTCGATTTCGGCCAAGAATTCTTCATTTCGGTGCATCCCTAGAATAAATAAGTTTACATACATTTTTATTTACTTTTTTCAATTATTTCAATTTTATTTCAAGTCACCTTTATTTATATAGCGCTTTTAACGATACAGGTTGTGTCAAAGCAACTGTACAGCATTAAATAGGAAAATAGTGTGCCAATTAGGGCTGCACGATAAATCGCATGATGCACGTTAAATATCGCATGTGATTTATCGTGCAGCCCTAGTGTCAATAACGCAAAAATAATGCAAAAAGGCAGTTCATCATTGAATTCAGTTACGTCATCATTCAGCTAAGTTCAGCTCTTGTACATGTAATTAAAATAAAAAATAATTAAAAATTTGAACAGAAATATATATTTTTTTAAATTATAAAAATGGCAAAGCACATAAAATTACTAAAACTGAAACTGAAATTACAACTAAAAATACAGAAATAGAAACGGATTCAAAATACTAATAAACACTACAATATTATGCAAGTTAATTTCACAGTTCTTGAAAAGGGGTTAAATGTTATGGCAAAAAAACAGCCAATCATAAACCATCTAAAAGGTTACCTCATTAAACATTCATGCACTTTGTACCTCTCAGCATCTGAGACTCAACTCAAAATGATGAAGACACTGTCAACCAGAATTAATTTACGTTGAATATTTTTCATTCTTCTGCATAACAAGAAAAGTATGTTGGAGCCCAAACAACTGACTTTCATTTTATGTACAAAAAAAAAAAAAGAGACATTTTGCAAAATAACTTCAGTGCAGAAGAAAGAAAGGGCAAACTATTACTATAGCTTTCGAGTCACAATGTCTGTCAAGAGTACTATAGGGTGTATAAAGAGATTGTGGTTCCAGCCAGCACAAAGCTTCCATAAACTAGCAAACCACATCATAAAAGAGAGAAAACAGTGATTGAATCTTATAAGACTAACCACATCTCCTCTGATAAGAACTCAATGAGTCAGGGTGGATCATCATCAAGTCCTCATGAAGTACAAAAACAATCCAGAGTTTTCCCAAATCGCTGATTCCTTTCAACCCGAGCCAAAGATCTGTGGTTAAAGTAATAAAGGCATGAAGCCGTACTTCACTGCCACACCCGCTCTCTTCATACACTCATCTGCATGCTTCAGATGTCCACATAATATATCATCAAAACCTCTGTAAGCACGACCAACTAAAGGTCAGCGTAAGGGAGGAGTTTGTTCCACATGTCGCTAAACACACACACACACCTTACTTTCAACCAACTTGCTTGTTCATACAGCCAGAGTCATCCATCTTTAAGCAGGTTCTCCATAAATAGAGCATCTAGTCAACCCTTGGGGATTCCATCATGCCCTACTACATTCTGCTTGAGGTTCATGCGCATGGCTGACATGACTGTGTATTTGAAAGGCTCCGATTTCCACCGCAGGATCTCTCTGCCATTCAACTAGCCAAAAATCACTCGTCATTTGCCTTTATTTTGCAAATGCAATTGTGGGGTTTGGGGTATGATTGAATAATATAAAGCCTTTGAATACTAGAGCATTCATCCTATTACTCTTGTGCTGCAGCATAATTCAATACTGCAGCTTACTTCTATAGTTATGAGTTGTATAAGAGCCCCATTCCTCAAATATCACACTGTGCATGTCGAAGCTGTTTGATGTTCCCTATAAGCAACGATAGGTTAATATTTTCATCTCCTGCATTCACCATCTCTTCATTCACTTCAACTGAAGTGTATAAGTTCATGAAACATTAAGTCACGTCTTGACCTCAAAGTGACCTAATGGTCACAGTCACATTTTGATGATTCTTCTGTATTAAATGTCACTCATCAGGTTATCAGCTGTGCAAGGTGAAACAGCCAATGAGAAGTTTCAAGAGACTTCGAGACAAATAAATATGGAAAGAAAAAATAAGACAAGAAATTAAGAGAAAATATATTGTTAAATAGTTTAAAAATATATTTCATTCACAACCAACCATATATAATCATAATAATTTAAACATCCAATGACATGAGCAAGCATTTATAACAGTATTAATAATTAATTAGATAAATTAGGGATGAGGGATCATTAGGAATCAATCTAATTATTATTTTTATTTTATGGCAGTCACCTAATAAAAACAGATAGTATAAAATTGTTATACTTGGTAAATGATACTATTTTTGTGAATAAGGGACTACAAAATAAAATTATTTATTTTAAATTATACAAGTGAATTTAGGCATCACAATATTATAACGTACAGTTTAAAAAAAAAATTCATTTTAAGATTTGCTAAAGATTACATTAAAGTAAGTGTTATTAAATTATAATTGTTTTGTATAACTTGGAACTCCACAAGCTAGTACATACATCAATGTGCAGCTGTACATACTCCTTTTCATTTAGATCTAGAGTTAAACGTTTAACAATTTTCAGACAGCTGAGGAAAAACAAGTAGCTTACTGTGCACTGGTGAGGAAAATCCTGCCAAATTAAAAGATTTTGGTGGTAAAGTCACAGCAAATACTCCAAGAGATGCTTACATCTCTCTATAAGAAACTTAAAGCACTAATTTCTGAGGATGATCCTCGGACATGGCAGGGTGATTAAAGGCTTTTAAAGCAAATTACACGCTCATGAGCATAAAGTGCCCATTTTGAAGCAACCAGAGGTAACTCCATTTCAGCAGCTTTCTGCCTGGGAGGACAACAACAGGAACCACAGTAATGGATTTAAAGCACTTAACCCAAGTCTCATTCATTGTGGTAGTGAAATAGCAAGATAAACATCCAAAACTCAATGCCACAGATTATATTTGTGCACTTATGTTCATTTATATACCAATTTCATACTCAAATGAAACAGAAATACACTATTACGTTTGCAGAGCAAGAATCAGATTGTAAATTTGCAAAAACAACTAACTTTTATATTTAATTTCTTAATATTTCTTTCAGAGCTGTTTTCCTGCATTAGAGAAGAGGCAGAGCACAGAAAGAGAGTTTGTTTACTGTCACCAAGGTCAGCACTAAGGTATTTCTGCAGCTGCTGAGACTCTTCCAACAGTTATATCATGACTTGGATGTGTTTGCCCTTGTGAAAGTGTGGCAGTAAGGCCATCAAAGCAATTTAGAGTATTGCTTGTGATCTCAAAGTGTTGGGTGCCAATACTGCCTGATTATGGATTATCTACTGTTTTGCTGTCAGAATGATAAAAATGTCACTATTAGTTTAGAACTGTTTTCGCTTGTAAGCAGTGCTTGATCTGTCACTCCAGTCATACAATGGAATATCGTGATGTTTTCATCAGCTGTTTGAACTCTCATTCTGACGGCACCCATTCATTGTAGAGAATCCATTGGTGAGCAAGTGATGTAATGCTAAAATTTCTGCAAACCAGTTCAAATGAAAACAAACTCATTGATCTCTTGGATGAGTACATTTTCAGCAGATTTTAAATTTGGGGTGAACCATTCCTTTAAAAAAAAAAAAAAGATTACTATTCTCAGTTACAAAGTCAGCAGTGGATAATACACAATTTCTGTTTTCAAAGTGTTTGAATATTTAAAAACAGCAAATGTTTTTAAAACTAATTGCAGAGTAAAGGATCACATGCTGTATTCACTGGCAACCAACCAAGCTTATCTACATCATCAACCACCAGTCTTAAAGGGGTCATATGATGCTGCTAAAAAGAACATTGTTTTGTGTATTATTTTCCACATACTGTACATTATTGTTTCTCCTCTATGCCCCGCCTTTTTGAAACGCGTCGATTTTTACAAAGCTCATCGGTCTGAAAAAGTGAGGTGTGCTGTGATTGGCCAGCTATCCAGTGCGTTGTGATTGGCCGAATACCTCAAGCGTGTGACGGAAATGTTACGCCCCTCACCATACTGTTGATGCCGTGTCCCGGCCGGAGCGACGAAACAAAAAACATGAAAACCCATTACAAACGAGGCATTTGTTGCATCCAGTGGGGACATAATTACTGATTATAATGACTTATACTGTCTTTTTACACGTTGCGTTGCATCACGCCGCGTAAACATAAAACCATGTCTGCATTTGTGATCGGAGAAACGACAAAATACAAACGTACTTGAAAATTGAAAAATTGAAATCGCATCATATGACCCCTTTAACACCAATTCGCATGAAATTTTCAATTTTTGCCTGCTGTAACCTTAATACACACTGAACACATTTTAAAAGCAATTATCTGCCTTTCTTATGTAGACATCATTGCAGTGTCTAAACATGACAATCAAAATAAAACCTTGGTTTTTAGCCTCACAGTATAGACATGCAAACCTCTAATAATAATCAATTTCTCTTTAATTGGCACTCAAAGAATAACTACATGTCAGCATGTCAGTATCTGTTCCCCCTCCCCTCCATGTTTTCACTGTCTCCTATCACACACACACACACACACACACAAACAAAACATCTCTAGACTGCTGTCCAATGAGGCCAGATTGCATCTGAGCTCCTGGAGTGCAACAGCATGTCCTTCTGCCAAAACCATGCATATTCTCAGTCTAGGTGGACTGTTATTGTTTTAATAGACAACCAGGACCATCATAATAATGTTTTGCAGAGCCTCAATCTAACAAAAATACTACTCGCATTGTATGACTGTATATTTGCTATGCATGCTTACTAAAATGCATCATGAATAAAAATGCCATAATCTTTAAAGCTCAAAATTCAGTGATGATAAACGGGTTGAATATCACAACATTATAATATATCAAGCCTCGACATTACTAAAATGAAATCAACATGTAAATGACAGGATCCCATTACAAAGCGGCAGAACCGCCATCTGAAATAATTTTAAAAAAAAAAACAGACAGAGCGTCAAAGCGCAACATTACCTTTTTCTTCAGGCATCGTCTACCGTAATCACGTCTATTCTGTAAATAAGAGAATGAGCCTGCTGTTTAAATATATATATATCCGACAGTATTTCAGTGGAGCACAGCGGTCTGGTACATGTTAATGCCGAGGCTCCTCTCGCGAGCGACGGAGAAATGCGCTTCACACAGCGCGTGTCACAGCGATACTACAGGAATGAACGCAGGTCATATGATTCCCGCCTCACACTCGAGCTATTGCAACAATCCATTATAAATAGAAGCTTCTCGATCAAAAACATAACACCCCTTCCCAAATATCTGAGGGCGTTTACCGTATTTTCTCTGTGTGAGGTACGCAGCTGGACTATCATTTAGCCCGGTTGGGGGGGAAGAAAAAATAAATTAAAAAAAAAAAGTGTAGGCCTATGTATCAACCTGTTATCAACGTGAGAAACATGCTGCATATATTTAGCTAAAGGTTTCCGCGTTTTAGGCTATAAACTTATGTCAGGTCTATAGGACACTGGAATGTCATCAAAAGATATTTTAATATTTATATAATGTAGCATATTTTACATTCCATAAATTTTTTTTTTCCCCCAAATGCTGGAAGTCTCACATTATTCATAATATAGCCTACAATTAAATGAAATTAGGATAGGCCTGTACCATAGGATATACAGGATGTCTCCTCAAATTATTATTAGGACTATTAATATTTATATTTCATCTTAGAGACATCCAAAAAAAGTATTGTTCCACTTTTCTAGCACTTTAATTACTAATAATGAAGAAAGTGTTGAAACTATGAAAAATATAAATAAGTTTATTTAATATAAAAAGGATATACACACACCGATATAGCTAAACAAAATGAAATCAATTTTTACAATGTAGGATGTCCCAAATAAACATGAAACAGGCAAACAAAACCAGAGTGACCAACTGCATCCGTTGCCATCCCATAATGCCACACTCAGCCCTATCTGACTCTAACCCTTTATTTTATTACTACATACCTTTGCACATGAGATCATGCCTAATATTGACTTGTTTGTGTTTTCCTTGTCATTTTGAATCCACCTTTCCTTGGAAAAGGACTGGATTTTGATGGATTGGATGCCTGTAACAACAGTTTCAAGCTGAGATTTTATCATCAGTGCTCTATTAGCAAGACCACACTTGAATGCAGTTGCTCTAATGAAAGTTCTGAAATATGAACAGAGTCAAGACATGCATTTATGAACCGCAGAACTTTTCACACACCCGGTCCATTTAATTAATGCATTCAAGAGGTCAGAGGGGCTCAAATCTTTTCCAGTTCTGAAGACCCCTCACGCCAGCTCCATGCAGCTCTGTACACGGTTCACTCTTTGATGTCTAATCGCGGAGCATGAGTCAATGTCATACTGCTATCTCACTCTCTCACATGTTCTCTATAAGTCCTGAATAATGATCAGGCTTGTGAACGGGCAGCTAGCACCTGTCAGGCTTAAAACAAGTAATTGATTACGGATTTTTTTTTTACTGTGCTAAATTTGCTGCCATAAGCATTTGGCTTCAGTTTGTCAGCACCACTAAAAATGATTGTTTAGACACTGCTGAAAATCTGTGCTGGCAATCCATGGAAACAAAAATAATGAAAGCGCATTGTTTTAAAGTGAGGCAAAACAGAAAAAAGGAGCGATAGAGTGAGCGAGCCAAGCTCGGCATTCAGAGAAAACACATTACATAATTCCCTTTGTATGATTTGCAAAGATAGAGAACATGTGCCCGACTAATCTGTGCTCATTTTTCCGTCCGTCGAGATGATTTATTTTAAAAGTTTGACACCCTGTGGGCGTTTTCTTCTCTGTACGTAGTCATCGTCTTAAATTTGCTTACAAAAATTATAGGATATTTTCAGGCTATTTATCATCTGGACAGCATGATCAATAGAGACGGTAGGATAGCCAGAAGTAGATAAGTTGGCAAACACCAAAACCACTTAAATAGTTTAGGATACCCAACCAAATCTACAAAGATAAGTGTTACACATAAGTGACCTCTTCTGGATATAGTCAGGTAAACAATCTTTTTAGAAGCATTTTTAGTAATAAAATAAAACAAAATATATCATGTAAAATTGTGTGTATGCATACTTCATGTAAGAGAGTTTACAGTACAAGCAGTGTTTGAATTGAATATTGTGACCTCATCAGGATCCAAAATAAAATATGGACACCACAAAAAAAAAAAAAAAAAAAAAAAAAAAAAAAAAAAAAAGTACACTCACGTTCTGTACACGAACACTGCCAGTGTCAAAATAGCTCAACTTCACTCTACACTTTGATCTACATTTAAAAGTCCTTCAACACTTTTACTTCATGCTATATCCTCTTTGCCTGAGCTAATGGAGAGAGTAATAGGGGCCACAGAAGGAGAGCGATAACCGAGAGAGAGAGAAACAGGGATGGGGATGTACTCTGCTTGCTCCAACTCAGACACCCTTCAGATTCAAGTCATGAATAATTTACAGAGGTCCTTTACTAAAGCACAGCAGCAGCGCTCAAGTGTCAAATCTCAGCAACACATGCAGCTGAGGGTGAGAACTACAGTACATTAGATTATGGAAATTCATGGAAAACCATGAAGACAACTGTAAACCATTTAAAGATTTTTTTTTTTAAGTTGTAAATATACCAAAGATTACTGAAATAGGTTGTACAAGAAAATACCGTTTCAGTCTTTCTACTTATAATGTCATGTTTAATTCAAAGCGTTTTTTGCTTTTTTTTGGTAATTATCTTAATTATTCAACATTTTTTAGTTTGTCAAGAGAAGGCAAGCAACATTTTATGAAGTGAAAGCTAAGCCATGATTGAATCAAACATCTGGAAATAAAGCAAAACAGCAGAGAACAAAAAATATTGGGAGTGATTCTTTAATTACAGCTAAATCTGACGTTACTTCAAGCTCAAACTGATTAATTAGCTGAAGTTATTACACAAATAATATCTGCGTGGCTGCGTCATTAACATCAGTTCTTCGTGGTTTGAACAACAAATTTGTGAAGTTACTGCGGCTTTGTGAGTAGTTATTTCTTCAAAAACGCATTGCACTATTTTAGCAAAAACAGCGAGTTATATAGAAAATGCATCCCTGCCTGACACAGCAGCAACACTGGTTCAACCAATGGCGTATATGGCAGGACTATCTGTTTGCGCAACTAATGGCAGACAGGGGAGTGTTTCTGAAACCTGTCTGGAAACTGAATAAAGTTATTAAAAAAAATATTGTATTACAAAAACATTACTGTAGTTTGAGTTCCAGTTTCACAAAGATTGTTGAAATTTCACTACAATTTTCCTTCAATTTTTTTACCAAAACAAGAAAAATCCCATTTTTCTGTTCTATCTGCTGATTTATAGCTCCTAATCTGAGAACACTGACCACCAGTAAATTCAGACCTGACTTATCAGTTTAGCACGAGGATGCTACATTCTGGATTTGTCCCCATAACCTCAGCACTCTTCTGGTTACTGTGGCGGAACGAGAGGAGTGATGGGTAGAGAATCATCACACTCTGCTGTAACATTTCATTCCATGCCAAAGATACACCAACAATATACACACACACACCAAGCTCGGAAATTATCAAGGGCTTTGGGCAAAAAAGCCACCAGAATTAACAAAAAATTCCCCCCAAATTTAAGATAAGTTGGCAAAACAAAAACAAAAAAAAACGAACTTAATGTAATGTGACACTTTCACATTTCACTTTAATTGTGACCATTACACTTAGATCTGCTCACGTTAAACCAGAGATTTCTTTTACTCATTTTTCAATTGAGCATTAAAGCCAAATCACACACATTTCTGTTAGTGTATGAATGCAGTGACCAATCAGAGACATTTAGTTTGTTTTCTATATATAAATCTTTCCCAGTTAAAACAACAAATAAACAAACGTTTTGTTCATGCTACCAAGAAGAAGAAAAAAAACAATTAATAAATGGGTTCTCAATTGGTTCTGTCTGTATAGCATAAATATTTTTAATAATTCATATTTTATGTGCACCACCTTTAAGCAGCAGTATCAGATCAGATGTAGCTTCTGTTTAACCTTTGCAAGTGTAAATTACTGTAAAAGTGTTGTTGATTAATTGTACTGAAAACAATCTATGGTATTCCGATTCATTGAAATAATTTCAATTTATATTTAAGTATTTGACAAGACAACACAAACATTAAATATTACAATCCTAAAAAAATAAAAAATAAATAAAAAAAGCCTTTCGAAAGGTTTTTTTTTTTTTTTTAAAAGGTCCTTGAAAATCAATTCCAGGGGCAATTGCCACCTAATGTAAAAGTTAATTTCTGAGCCTGACAAATTAATTAGAACAGTTTTTAATAAGCAAATAAGAACCACAGAGCCAACTCAAGAACACTACATAGCACAAAGCAGTTCAACAAGATGTTTTTTGCTGAACCAAAGGAGCTGCCTTGAATTTTGGGATAAAAGACATGCTTGATCAGACAAAAATGACAGTCTGAAGATATATTTAGACATATTCAAAGTGTATTAAGGAAAGTGTATACATGTATGCAAACTGCTCGCAAAATGGTTGACACCGTTTCAATCTCTCATAAGCTGGCAACAAAATTTGGTCAAACCAGATGAGCCTCCATCTGGGGTGACATGCAAACTGTTCACTGACTCAGCAGTACTATATCCAGCAGAGCTACATTCCAATAAAAGAATGAAAATGTTCAAAGGAAAATGCATTATTTGAATTTTATTACTGTTGTGCAGAGGCAAGGTACAATCATAAAAACATGTGACCGAGCAAAAAGTTATTTTGAGCATTTGAAGAAAGTTATCAAGGCAGAATACGCACACAGACACCCGTACACACACACACACACACACACACAATCACAAGTAAAGCAGCAGGTCATCTCTGGTCAGCTTGCCTTTAGGGTTTGATGGGTAAACAGAAGCCTATTTTGCAAAAAAAGTGCAAATAACTGGTCATATTAACAAATGACTTTTGCCTTTGAGTAAAAACTCAGCTCAAAGCAAACACCAATATCAAATATCAAGTAATGCATGGTGTACAATCAAACGTTTAATGGTGTGACTGTAAAAAGGGTTTGTCTAAAAAGACAGGTTACTATAGCATCTTTCAATAACTCAAATACATGCACGTGTAAACTGAGTAACGTATTATAACCGAAAAATACATAATGCATTTAAAAAAAATAAAAAAAAGTGTATTATGCCCATGATAGTTGTGGAAAGTAAAGGTAAAAAAAAAAAGAAAAAAAAAAAAAA